GAATCCCAATTGAGGCGTTCTCTTTTGCCTGTTCTCTCTTTTGTGGGTCCTAAGGGACAATGGGAGTCTTCGGGGAGGCTGACCTTTGCGGACGGACACGCAAGGGTGCCGCACGACTTAGGCAAAACCAGCTAAGTCCGTGTCACTATGTCAACCCTCTGTACTAGGCACAAACATGTGCTGCTGTCATGCAACATGCTGGTACCATATTAACATAGGACAGCATGGCAAGTACATGCAAAACATAATGCATACACAGAAAAGTAATGGTCCCACAGAAAAGTAGTGGTCCATGGAGTTGATAACAGTAGTAATAGCTTGCCAAGTAGATGAACAACAAACTTGTCTCTGGCACACCATGCATGTGTCCTATGTGGTAGACTCATTTTCAACTGACAGTTAATAAGCTGGCACCAATAAACTGACCAGAATAACATCCACAAGCAAGGGGCTAAATTTAACAATTCTTCTGGCAGTAGTTTTTACCAATGTGCATTAAGTCAACAAGAGGATGCCACCTACAAGCTAATCTCACTGGGATGTGCCCAAATGATGTGATATGAGCAACCAAATTCAGGTGGTGACTATAGATGAACGGAAACAGAGTAAATCGTTTGAAAAAAAAAATCTTTATTTAGAGGAGCACAATACTTAAAGTGCAGACCTTGAAGCCGGATCTCAATACATAGGATAAACTATTCTGTATAAGACTCAGAATATGATTGATACCAGATCATTGACCCTCAGAAAAGCATCAGGCAAACTGGAACAACTAAAAGCGATCTACACCTAAAATAAAAACTATGATATAGATGCCCAAATCATTTCTTCTAGACATTCTGAATCAAACATTTGATACCTAAGCCATTCAGGCAAAGAACGCAAACTGCAGAGAATAAATTACATATGGACCATCATTATTGGTACCGTCAAATCATTATATGACTCCCAGCTAATTCACAAAGAGAATGTAACTCAAACAAGATAGTGTTTTAATCTGTTTAGGTTGTTTCACCCCCAATTTCAAGTAACTATCCATGAAACACAAAAGTTTCGTTGTTTTCAATACCTCCACTTCAATACTACCATAATCTTGCGTGTCATGACACAGAGAAATGCTCCCATCAGATTCTACGAATGAATAAAAGGAGCAATTTCGGAGCTCTGCTATAGGCTAACTACATTCCTTCAACAAAATTGGAACAAACCACAATATCAAGGGCCTACCCAGCACAAACACAAATAACTGACTTCGACCCCACCATTACCCCAGACCTCAAATATACTCTGAAGGTCTCTGGTGACCTCTACCTTATCATCGATCCACATCCCTGTAGACTAATAAACAACAACAATCAACCATCGGAAGATCTCCGCCACTAATCGACGAGATCAAGAGAAGCAATCAAGAAAGCGAAGAAAGTGAGAAGCACGGAGGCGACCAGGTGTTACCTACGGTAGGGGACCTGGGGAGTTGGGATCGCCGGGGGGCGGTGTCGGGAGAGGAATCGCCGCGCAGGTCGGGGGACTCCATCGCGACAGATTTAGGGCGGGGGCGGGTGAGGGAGGGGGGAGGGAAAGCGGGATGAGGAAGAACGCTTCTTCGTGTCTCTCTCTCTCTCTCTCACCAGTAGCTGATAAAGGGAGAGAGGGAGAGGATACAAGGAGGGTCGGATTCGGGATCCCGTGGCTACTGCCTGTTTTGGAGGCACCTATTCTTTTCTTGCATTAATAATGAACCCTCCTCTGCCCAATGATAAATTGGGCCGGAATTGACCCATATACCGGCCCAATTAATCCAAATAGCTCATTCCTTAATCTTTAAAGATTAACGCTGGCCCAACCCAAACCGGCCCGCCCGTACAACCCGGTTAGACGACAACTTTCATTCGCCTGCTCACAACTTCTAAAGGTGACTGTGCAGACGGAAACTCTCGACGTCAAAACATACATTAAACTTGGATCGATCGGAAGAAGTCTGAATAGAAGATATTTATTTGATGTGGTAGTTCATTTTTGTTTTATTCAAATGGGTTCGATTCAATGTCCATCCATTTAATTATGTAAGATTAATTTTCTTTTCGAGTAGAGTTATAAAATGAAAAACCTTATGCATTAATTTCTATTTGAGCACAATTATAAAAAAGGAGAACACTATCTTTAAATCGGTTTGGTTTACTAATCAGCTCCTTTGAGTCTTAGAAAGATTTAAATATTCTCGATTTTTATTTATTATTAATTATATTTGAATTCTGAAAGGTATTTAAGTCTAATGAAAGAGAATATAATTTGATTATATTTACTATTCTCTTATATCCTTAATTTTTGTTATTATCAAAGATATTCTAACCCTAAAAGGTATTAAGTTTTTTTTTTATGGATGAAAGAGAAAAAAAATTCTATTGTATTTATCCCTCACTATGTTATAAAATTATTTTATATTATTATTAACAAATTTATTTTTTATTAAAGAATATTAAACTTATGGGTGGTCGATTCACCGGTTCAATCAACAACCCAATTGTCCGGTCCGATTCTAGTAACCATATTCTTTTTAATAACTATGGGCCAAATTGGATTGGCTTCTATGCTTTATCTAAAGCATGTCTTCGGAAGGCATTAGCTAGAACAAAAAGAACTAACATCTTAATCTAATGGATCCAATGATAACTTTAGTCGAACTAGTATCATCATCAGCAAAGTTGAAGACTGCTTAGTTAGCACAACTTCAATTGCTTCACTATATAGAAATAAACCTTCAAAATGAGGCGCTTAACAACCAGGAGATCCAAGAACACACAAGTAGAGAATCTCTCTAAGCTTCATAAATTGCATACCAGTTTATCTCGGGCTGCTTGATTTCTGCTTGGCCTTCTCAATCAGAGGCTTCAATTGCTTCTTCTCTGAAAGAATCTTGAGAAAGTTGAATAGGAAGGGCACGTAGTTATGCTTCCTCCGGATGTTCTCAGTTCTCCATTTCTTGAACTTCTCTTCTTCCATTATTATCTTCTCGGTCACAGCTTCGATTCCAGCTGTCACCTCAGCAAGTGATTTGTTCAAGGCTTCGACTGCAGGACTGTGCTTGTTGGCAGCGCCCACATGTTCATTCAACTGCTGCACCAGATGCTCCCTCTTCTTTTGGAGTTCCTTGAGCTCAGCCGTGTACATCTCTTTCCGATTCTTTACGATAGCCATGAGGCTGAACCGGATTTCAATCTCCGAATACCTATCAATCCGTTCCTGAATTATCGGCTGAGCCATGTGCAGCCAGTCCAGGTCACCTGGCCCACCAGAGCAGAGGCCAAGGCTGATTGGCCCCTCCTTCAGTCCATCCAGCTCATACAGCACGCCATCGACAGGTAAATAGCTTATGAAATGGTAGACACCGTCATCCTTTCCTCCAACTTTCTGCTCCTCAGCTACAAACTGCTCGGGCCTAGCAAAGCTGTTATGGGCAAAGCTGTTATGGGCTGTTCGTATGGCTTCGCTGTTGTTGATTGCCAATCCTTTAAGTTCTGGAGGGAAGTTTTTGGTGAACTCTTTAAGCACGGACAGTTCTGGACCAACGTCAATATCTGGGCAGTTCATCAAAACCGACAGAATAGCTTGGGTTGCACAAGCATTGTTGATAACCTGCTCACAACCAAGTAGCTCAATGATACAAAGAACATAAAAGTAATTAAAGAAGCTTAATATAATCCTTGTCCAACCTGACTGGCAAAGAAAAGGTTTGGACTCAGATCCTTAATTACAGGACGGTCATCCTTTTCCCCTGGTCGCCACTTATACAGAAGTATCAAACCATATATGGGCCTGCAAGAATTAACGTCAGCTCTGACAATACACCAAAAAATGTAATGCAGGCTTTGGTTTAGTTCTAACCGCAGGTTGTCAAGAAAATCCATGTCAAGTGAATATAATTCTTCCACCTGTTCAGAAAAACTCATTCTCACCATACAGTTTGTTTTAACAAATAAAAGCTCACTTACGTTGTGTACCAGTAGATAAGAAGACAAGTGAAGTTGATATTTGAATAAAAAATTAATGAGAAATAGATAAACCCTAATATGCAATCATCTTGAACGTGCCAGTTAAATGAAACTGTTCAACCTGTCATTTATAGCAAAAAATATAAATAGTACAATTAAATCTGATATGCATGCAGTCCTCCAAGAAATGTGATAAGGGTAAAAATAGCGATGTAACACGCCATGACGTCAGCCATGCCTGGACAACACACTGCCCGAGGAAGTCGGCATTAACACCTAACCCAGGCTTAGTTCTTCACGCCACGCCAACCCCATGACAGACGCTATCAGCCTGCCTCCTGCGAGCAGCCACATCAGGTAACATCAAACTCATCTATGAATACCCCAGAGTTCTAAAGGAGCAGGAGGAGGACAAGCACAACGCACTTGGAGGCATCTCTTCCTCCAAAACCCTCTCCACATCGCTAACTTGATCGTCGGAGGGGTCGGGCCGAGCTCCCGGCCTGACCTGTGTGCAGGTCCGAGACGGTGTCGCCTCTTCCCGGCGTTGCGGCGGAGCTTTCTCCCGACCCGACCTGCCGACCCGACCCGCCGACCCGACCTCCCGACCCGAACCACCGTGCTGGGCCTTCGAGAGACCCCGAGGGACGGAGCCCGAGATCCCCGACATCCGGACCCCCGAACCGAGCCGCGACGGCCCCGAGGCCACGGCTTAAACAGATGCCCCCCGCATCATTTTGGCGCTAGAAGGAGGGCCCCGAATGTCGAGGGATCCTCATACTGATCCCGACGAACTCCCTGCCGAGGGATCGTTCTTAGCAGGGGCGCAGGCCGTGCGTCCCTTGCGTGACGGGCCGTGGGCTGACGACCTCCCCGCGACCTCTGAACGCTACTAGCGTTCATTCGACAACCCGGATCTGCTTCCGCCCGAGGGCGCTCCGAGCGTCCCCTCGCCGGTGTCATCCGAGGCCTTTCACGACCTCGCTCGTCAAGTCCGAGCTCTGACGGATATGGTGCAAACCATCATCCCGCTCGTCTCCCAACCGACACCCCCACTTATGACTCAGCCGCTACGGCAACAAGAGCCGCCCGCTCGAGCCCACATGACGCTTCTGGAGCCTTCCACTTCTCCTCGGGTCAGACCGACCCCACTCGGGGATCCAGTAAGGACAAACCCGAGCGGCCGCCCAGAGCCCGAGGTATTATCTCCGGAGTCAACGGACTCCCTGCGAGCCCAACTATGCTTTCTTAGTCAGCGGCTCGACGAACTAGAGAAGGAGTTTCGCAACTCAGGGGGAGAGCTCGAGATGGACACACACCGAGGATCTCCGTTCGCACCAGAGATACGAGATCACGCCGTTCCCCCGAACTTCCAGCTCCCTTCTTTGGACGCATACGACGGTTCCACTGACCCGACGGACCATGTCGCCGCTTTCCGTGCCCATTCAGCACTGTACGAAACGTCTAACGCTTTAATGTGCAGGGCGTTTCCCACGACGCTAAGGGGTCCGGCCCGCACATGGTATAGCGGCCTGAAGATCGGAACGACCACTTCCTTCGGGCAACTCGCCAAGGACTTCGAGCTCCACTTCGTAGCCCATGCCCGGCCGAAGCCCTCCGCGACACTGCTCCTCGGATTCAAACAAAGAGAGGACGAGCCCCTCTCGCATTTCGTGGATCGCTTTGCCACGCAAATCCGGAGCTTACCGGACACTCACCCCTCTCTGTTAGTGCAGGCGTTCATGGTAGGCTTGCGACCTTCCAGATTCTGCTGGTCCCTCGTAGAGCGACCCCCCACCACGATACCAGATATGCTCCAGCGAGCCAACCGGTACATCATGGCGGAAGCTTGGGTGACCGCAAGGAAGAGGAGTGACTCTGGGCGACAGGCCCCGTAGCAGCGGTCAAGCACCCGCGGTTGCTATCCGGTGTAATCCTCGTGCAAGGAATCTAGCCCCTTCCTCAGTCTCCTCCAAGCAAAGGCTCCATATTTACCTGACCACCTCTTGGCTCACGGTTAGCTTCGGTCTAACCCCCTCCTTTTTGCATTCGCACGGCTCGGTCGGAGACGCCCGAGTCCACCTCAGCGCGGCCTACCCGCCTGAGCCATGTCCCTCGGTCGCAGTCTGCCCGAGTCCACCTCAGTACGGCCTGCCCGCCTGAGCGGTGTCCCTTGGCTGCAGCCTGCCTGCGCCGAGCTTCTCGGCCATACACCGCCGAGTTCACCTCAGAGCAGCCTGCCCACCTGAGCGGTGTCCCTCGGCCGCAACC